ATCTCAATAACCCATTAAGGAGATAGTTATACCCCAAACCTAGCCTTTCTCGCTTTTCATCGTTTTCTTGCTATTTTATGGCTTTTATTGAATTTGGTTCTTCCTCTTCTTAAATAGAGTCTATTTTATTCTGGATGGCAACCTGTGGTATTTCGAGCATCGGATAATCAGGTTGCCTATCTCGGATTTATTTGCATTGGAGCAAGGCAAGTTATTATTCCTTCCCTTTGAGCATAAATGTCCTATATTCTATATTCTATTCTATGCACTAGCCATACATGATTTTGAATGCATAATCTGAACATATAGCGAACCAGTTATATGCTAGCTTTTGCTTAGCCATGCTTAGTTAGAATATGCATAAAATTCAATGAACTTAGATTGGGACAGTACGTAAGATTTGGTTGATTTCCGGGTGACTAGTACTGTCTCGATCGATATAATTGCCACCAAATACTTATGTCAAACGAACGAGTACGACCGCAGCTTCTAGAATGGGGACAGACCTAGTTATTAGGTTAATTAACAATGTGGTACCTCTGTACAGTGGTTCCTTTTGTAAGTCCTCGCGCAGGAGGCAATCTTATGCTGAGTAGGGCATCTTATGATATTTACCAAGGCGCAGGTAAATATACTGATTTTCGCTCATGAGCTGTGTGTGTGATTTTATGGAAACCTGGTTGAGATGACGTGGGGTCTCTCATCCAGTTCTCTCTAAAAACCCCGGGAACGCCAGAACTCCTCTCGCTGCTGATAACGTTACGTTCAGAGCGCATGGGGACTAGAGTTCATGGAACAGGTGCCACTATTGTTAGTAACCTAATACTGGGCATGACTAAGCTAATGAATATTGGCAAGTCGTGGACTGCGGGTAAAGCGTACATTTACTGCAGTAGAGTATTCATGAAACTATTCGAATAGCCGTGCTCACGGAATTGAGTATCAGGACTCATATGGTATTTGGTTAGAAACTTAACTCAAGATTTTACTAAATACTGTTGCATAAAGACATACCAGGCTTTCTTCATCTTTATTCTTAGCTTTCTGCCAGTAAACCTAGATCTACTTAAATACTATTTCATGCATTCATTATTTGATATAATAGCTTGCTGAGTACATGTCACGCCCAGAAATTTAGCCCAAATTTCCAGACTATTTTGTGTATTAAATCCCTGTCCAGGACCAGCCAGGGTACACAAAACGACAAGTAATAAACAGTTCCAAACGTAAATAAAGCGTAAAATACTTACAGAAGAGGCACTTAGTCCTCACACCGAAACAAAAGCAGCAGCAGCGGAAAAAGGCGATCCTAGCGGGGCTTCAGCTCCACTCCACAGGCAAAACTCAACTGGGGTCTGAGCCTTGGTCCTCTAACTCCATCTTCAGCTCAGAAGCACTACACTTCTGAAAAGGGGGAATAATAGCAAGGCTGAGTACAACCACCGTACTCAGCAAGCCACACCAACGATGCAGACGTGCAAGGGGGAACACAAGGACGGTTTGTGGCTATTTGCATAAAGGCGGTTGTAAAACATTTTATTGAGCAAAACAGTAAAACTGTTGAGTAATTAAAGTAATATTAAATCTCCACTGATCAACGCTACACCACGTTGAACAGGCCCAACCAACCCACCTGTACTACAGTGCATTGGGTCGATTTATTAGGTGTGAGACTAATCACGGTGAATCTGGTCGATCGCCCATAACCGCGGGCACGGCTATTCGAATAGTTTTACTCTGGCCAGAGGTGCACAACTGTACCCACAAGACACAACCCACCGACATGTCACCGCGTCATCATGTGCCCATGATGCACACGTCACCATGTCGAGTGATTGTGACGAGACCCTTCGCATAACCCTCCCCTAACCATCCACACCACGCTAAGGTTTCACCCCCACCCCTCAAAAGGCAGTGGGCGGTCCCCTCTTGCGCCGCGGTGAATCCGGCAGCTGGACAACCGGACACCCCGGCCGACCCAACTCCATCACGCCCACCCTCGCCACCGGTGCCTAGGAAAGGGTCGAGCTATACTTCAGATCAAGCAGTTACCCATTCCCGCTTGTGGCAAGCGCTGTAAGTCTTCCAGGGTTTCCCGTGAACCGGTCCTTAATTGCTATGGGTGCGACTCGCAAAACCATGCATCCACAGCCCACCATTCAGTCGCATTTTAGTTGGATAATTACGACCATAAAACATGGCCAGATGTCTCGAGCACGCAGCTCAACAAGATACTAGAATGTCTAATACTGCAATTATCCCATCGACTGAGCTAGTGGTAATTAAGCATGGCTAAGCATATAGTTCTAGCTAGGTCACATAAGTAACACAAGCTAGTCAATTTATTACCCAAGGTTGACAAAGAACAGATATCAAGTAAACATGGCGCAAGCGAGCAGATAGGAAAACCCTGATCCCATGTAATTAGCAAAACATGCATATTTATTTGTAAACGGTAAAACATTTATAAATTGGGATCAACATGCTCAAGGAGAATGTGTGACTTGCCTTGCTTCTTCACTTTGATCTTCTGAACTCTTTTCCTCGCGACCGCGGACTTCCGAAACGACGGAAACTACACGCTGGCACGCAAAACGAGGAAAAACTCTAATAAACACCAAGAAAACAGTACATAAAAAGTAAACAAACATGTAGAGCTCAATTTTAGATGAATTTTGCAAGTTGAATGGCTCAATTCGGAGTTCGAATGAATTAGATATGAATTTTAGAAGGTTTTGAGCCATTTTAATGAATTTCTAGAATTATTACCGATTTATTGCGCAATTTAAATCAATTATGACGTCATCCGACGGGGGAGAGGTGGCGCCGGCAAGCGGGCCCCACCTGACGGTGACTCACGGGTGGCGGGCGCACCGTGGACCGAGTCCACGCATGCGCTGGTCCGCGGGCGCACCACGTGGCAGACACGTGGCGGCCACGACGGACGGCTAGCGGAGGTGGCGCCGACGTGGCGCCACAGAGGCACCGACGCGGGCGGCACGGGAAGGCCACGTGGACGGCCCAGATCGCCCCGAAGGAGGATCGGGCGGCCACGGGCGAGCGGGAGCCAGCTCACCGGTCGGCCGGCCGGGAGCGACGGCGCACGGCCCGATGGTCGCCGGCGACGACCACCGGCGCGACGGCACGCACGGGAGGCGACGAAAAGAGGGGAAAGGGAAAGGAGATGAAGGGGGTCCTCACCGAGGAGCGCCGGCGACGGGACGACCATGGGGAGGCGACCGGCGGCGGAAAGGATGGCGGCGGCCGACACGGGAGGCGACGGGAACGGCGGTCCGACGACGCCCGACCATGGCGGAGCCGCGGCCGAGGGCCGGCAAGACCTAGGGAAATTATTGGAGCGGTTAGGGAGGGAAATAGGCGACCGGAGCGGCGAGAATACCACGCCAGAGAGGAGAGGAATGGTGGGGCTCACCGGCGACCGAGAGGTACCACGTTCCGGTGGGTTTCCGGCGATGAACAACGGTGACCGAGGTGCTGCACGGCGCTGCGAGGCGAGAGGTGAAGACGGAGCGACGCGGCGGCGGCTAAGGCGACGGTGGCACACGGCTGGAGGCGGCGTATGGTGGAGGTGGCTCGGGATGCACGGTGGAAGGGTGGTTGCGGTGGTGGAATGGGGAAACGGAGCGGAGGCCGGGGTAGAGCTTGGCACGGCGTTGCCGACGGCGCAAGCGGCGAGGTGCGGCGACGACTAACGCAGCGGCAGCGGCCGGCTGAAGGCGGTGTGTGGCGGTAGTGGCTCGGCCTCGCGATGGGAAGGTGGTTCCGGCGGTGGAGGAGGGAGATGGAGTGGATGCCGGGGTGCGGTGGGGTGGTGTGATGCTATAGGTGGTGGCGGCGCAGCGCGGCAGCGACGGGAGCGGCGGTGGCGGGCGGCTGGAGATCGCCGGCGAGCGGCGGCGAAGGGGATCGGCGTGGAGAGCTCGGTAGAGGGCGTGGGGGACTCGGGAAAACGGGGAAAAAGGAAGAGGAGTCCACGGGGATTGATTTTATAGCTCAAGGGGGCGAGGAGAGGGCCGGGGAGCGGCGGATTTCGAGGGGAAGTGGGGCGGCGTCGTGGGGGTGTGGCGGCTCGGCGTGGCGTTGATTCCCGCGGGGAGAGAGGGGGAGTGGGGCGGGATGTGGTCGCGAGGTGGAAGGGGTCTCGGGTCCACGCCGGTTGGGACGAGGGGAGGTGCGGGATCGGCGGAGGGAGTGGGCGGCGTGGGCGGCGGTTGGAGCTGGCCGGAGGTTGGGGATGACAGGTGGGGTCCACGGGTCCCACCTGTCGGCCTGAGTGAGAGGGGAGGCCGGGAGGGAGGAAAAGCAGACTTGCGCCAAAAAGGGGAGGCAAGCCGGGCCGCGGGAGGGGAAGGAGAGAGGATTTTGGGCCGAGCCCGAAAGGGAGGAAGGGGAAGTTTATTTTGTTTTCTTTTTATTTAAATTGATGCAATGACCTTTGTGCTATTAAAACTATTTCTCGAGCTCCGAAAATTCACGGAAAATTCCGGAGAGTACATTAGGGCACAAAGAATATTACAAAATATTCCCGGCCAATGATTTTTAAGGGAAAATTTTAATTCTCCCAACATTTCACTTGGATAAATTGATTTAACTTTTATTTAATTTCTAGAAAATGTATTATTAATTGATTTTTAAACCCGAACGAAAATCGGGGCGTTACAAATCTACCCCCCTTACAGGAATCTCGTCCCGAGATTCTGGGATGGCTAGAAAGAAAGCCGGTGCTGGTGGGCGGTCTGACTGATCTGCACATTGAACTGCCACATTCTGCTTCGAACTGATTGATTGACTGGTTGATCAAACCTGCACGATTGCACTGGCTGGATTCGACCTTTCTGTTCCTTTGCTTTGCCAAAACTGGACCGACTGGTTCTGCTTGAACTGACCTAGGCCAGAACTGCGGATACTCCTGAAACTTACTTATCTTGGACTGAACTGTTGAGGTTGGCAATTTTGGTAACCTGAGAATTCACCACGCTGGCTATAAGAGGATGAAAATTGAATCTGGCATTTGTAAATCATTTACCCTATGTCCGCTTGGACTGGTCCCAACTCAAATGACAAGTAAATCCAGGAAACCTGCTTGACCTGTCTAAGCTAAGCGGTTGAACTGGCCTCATGGGTGTACCTTAGAATTCAATCGGTTGCCCGGGGATCGGCTTAATTCTTCTGATACCTTGCAACTTGCTTCTTCAAGTGCTACCCTGATTGCGGCACTGGTTGAACCTTCAACTAAAACAGCGACGAAGTGAGGCAAAACTCTTCTCCGAGACCTACCCCCCTTACAGGGAGTAGTCTTACTTCCGCGTGGCTGGGATCAGTTGAACTGTTGTCCTTCAAATATAGCCAACACTTCTCTGATTTACAAAGAGCCCTGACTTTGAAAACTGAAAACTTCATCGGTCCATCAAATTGAAGCAATGGCGATGCACTTTCACCCCGACAAGATTTGGAACTTAACCCTTAGTTGATGATAGGAAATTCCACATAAAAGTGACTCTCATTTAGCTCATGGACACACTGACTCTTGACTGCAACACACTACTGCTGGAGTTCTTTCCGCTACACTTGACCTTGCATCGAGCTTTGCATCTCCCGCATCAATACATCCATCATCTAATCTTGGACACCAAATGTTGATCACGAGCAGGGTTCTTCTGGCACTGGGATACCTTGTAGCTTTCAACTGAACCATTGATTGGTGACTTTAATTGATCTTATCTCTGACACTGACCATCCGCTGCCAGGACGGAAGAAAGGTGGAAGAGAGGGGTTGCTAAAGATAAGGTACTAAACCACTTGCCTACTGTTATGTTGTGAGTAGACTTTTATTGTTCAAGTTGCTTAAGCAAACAACCTAGTATGGTCGCATCCCCACCAATGATGCAAACCATACCCCTACACACAAGCAAACAACACACGATCTAGAAAGCTAACGGAACTACTCTTCTGGGAAAGATTGGGTTTAGGTCAACTTCGGGAAAACTCCACTTGATCTTCGCAGAACGACGACTCTGAACTGATCTTCTCGCTCCTTGCACGAAGCTTGAGGCTCGAATTGACTTGACTTCCGAACAGACATGAAGCTGACAGCTGGTCCTCTAGGTTTGACAACTAAAAGAATTGGAGAGATTGGGAGGAGAATTTTGAAAAACCGTTTCACAAAGAAATGCCGAAGGGCGAGAGGAGACAATTTGCAAGTAGGGTTTTCAGAAAACTTGTCCTTACGGTTTGACCATTTGGCTCAACCTACAGTCAAGTTGGCTCTGATACCACTTTGTCACGCCCAGAAATTTAGCCCAAATTTCCAGACTATTTTGTGTATTAAATCCCTGTCCAGGACCAGCCAGGGTACACAAAACGACAAGTAATAAACAGTTCCAAACGTAAATAAAGCGTAAAATACTTACAGAAGAGGCACTTAGTCCTCACACCGAAACAAAAGCAGCAGCAGCGGAAAAAGGCGATCCTAGCGGGGCTTCAGCTCCACTCCACAGGCAAAACTCAACTGGGGTCTGAGCCTTGGTCCTCTAACTCCATCTTCAGCTCAGAAGCACTACACTTCTGAAAAGGGGGAATAATAGCAAGGCTGAGTACAACCACCGTACTCAGCAAGCCACACCAACGATGCAGACGTGCAAGGGGGAACACAAGGACGGTTTGTGGCTATTTGCATAAAGGCGGTTGTAAAACATTTTATTGAGCAAAACAGTAAAACTGTTGAGTAATTAAAGTAATATTAAATCTCCACTGATCAACGCTACACCACGTTGAACAGGCCCAACCAACCCACCTGTACTACAGTGCATTGGGTCGATTTATTAGGTGTGAGACTAATCACGGTGAATCTGGTCGATCGCCCATAACCGCGGGCACGGCTATTCGAATAGTTTTACTCTGGCCAGAGGTGCACAACTGTACCCACAAGACACAACCCACCGACATGTCACCGCGTCATCATGTGCCCATGATGCACACGTCACCATGTCGAGTGATTGTGACGAGACCCTTCGCATAACCCTCCCCTAACCATCCACACCACGCTAAGGTTTCACCCCCACCCCTCAAAAGGCAGTGGGCGGTCCCCTCTTGCGCCGCGGTGAATCCGGCAGCTGGACAACCGGACACCCCGGCCGACCCAACTCCATCACGCCCACCCTCGCCACCGGTGCCTAGGAAAGGGTCGAGCTATACTTCAGATCAAGCAGTTACCCATTCCCGCTTGTGGCAAGCGCTGTAAGTCTTCCAGGGTTTCCCGTGAACCGGTCCTTAATTGCTATGGGTGCGACTCGCAAAACCATGCATCCACAGCCCACCATTCAGTCGCATTTTAGTTGGATAATTACGACCATAAAACATGGCCAGATGTCTCGAGCACGCAGCTCAACAAGATACTAGAATGTCTAATACTGCAATTATCCCATCGACTGAGCTAGTGGTAATTAAGCATGGCTAAGCATATAGTTCTAGCTAGGTCACATAAGTAACACAAGCTAGTCAATTTATTACCCAAGGTTGACAAAGAACAGATATCAAGTAAACATGGCGCAAGCGAGCAGATAGGAAAACCCTGATCCCATGTAATTAGCAAAACATGCATATTTATTTGTAAACGGTAAAACATTTATAAATTGGGATCAACATGCTCAAGGAGAATGTGTGACTTGCCTTGCTTCTTCACTTTGATCTTCTGAACTCTTTTCCTCGCGACCGCGGACTTCCGAAACGACGGAAACTACACGCTGGCACGCAAAACGAGGAAAAACTCTAATAAACACCAAGAAAACAGTACATAAAAAGTAAACAAACATGTAGAGCTCAATTTTAGATGAATTTTGCAAGTTGAATGGCTCAATTCGGAGTTCGAATGAATTAGATATGAATTTTAGAAGGTTTTGAGCCATTTTAATGAATTTCTAGAATTATTACCGATTTATTGCGCAATTTAAATCAATTATGACGTCATCCGACGGGGGAGAGGTGGCGCCGGCAAGCGGGCCCCACCTGACGGTGACTCACGGGTGGCGGGCGCACCGTGGACCGAGTCCACGCATGCGCTGGTCCGCGGGCGCACCACGTGGCAGACACGTGGCGGCCACGACGGACGGCTAGCGGAGGTGGCGCCGACGTGGCGCCACAGAGGCACCGACGCGGGCGGCACGGGAAGGCCACGTGGACGGCCCAGATCGCCCCGAAGGAGGATCGGGCGGCCACGGGCGAGCGGGAGCCAGCTCACCGGTCGGCCGGCCGGGAGCGACGGCGCACGGCCCGATGGTCGCCGGCGACGACCACCGGCGCGACGGCACGCACGGGAGGCGACGAAAAGAGGGGAAAGGGAAAGGAGATGAAGGGGGTCCTCACCGAGGAGCGCCGGCGACGGGACGACCATGGGGAGGCGACCGGCGGCGGAAAGGATGGCGGCGGCCGACACGGGAGGCGACGGGAACGGCGGTCCGACGACGCCCGACCATGGCGGAGCCGCGGCCGAGGGCCGGCAAGACCTAGGGAAATTATTGGAGCGGTTAGGGAGGGAAATAGGCGACCGGAGCGGCGAGAATACCACGCCAGAGAGGAGAGGAATGGTGGGGCTCACCGGCGACCGAGAGGTACCACGTTCCGGTGGGTTTCCGGCGATGAACAACGGTGACCGAGGTGCTGCACGGCGCTGCGAGGCGAGAGGTGAAGACGGAGCGACGCGGCGGCGGCTAAGGCGACGGTGGCACACGGCTGGAGGCGGCGTATGGTGGAGGTGGCTCGGGATGCACGGTGGAAGGGTGGTTGCGGTGGTGGAATGGGGAAACGGAGCGGAGGCCGGGGTAGAGCTTGGCACGGCGTTGCCGACGGCGCAAGCGGCGAGGTGCGGCGACGACTAACGCAGCGGCAGCGGCCGGCTGAAGGCGGTGTGTGGCGGTAGTGGCTCGGCCTCGCGATGGGAAGGTGGTTCCGGCGGTGGAGGAGGGAGATGGAGTGGATGCCGGGGTGCGGTGGGGTGGTGTGATGCTATAGGTGGTGGCGGCGCAGCGCGGCAGCGACGGGAGCGGCGGTGGCGGGCGGCTGGAGATCGCCGGCGAGCGGCGGCGAAGGGGATCGGCGTGGAGAGCTCGGTAGAGGGCGTGGGGGACTCGGGAAAACGGGGAAAAAGGAAGAGGAGTCCACGGGGATTGATTTTATAGCTCAAGGGGGCGAGGAGAGGGCCGGGGAGCGGCGGATTTCGAGGGGAAGTGGGGCGGCGTCGTGGGGGTGTGGCGGCTCGGCGTGGCGTTGATTCCCGCGGGGAGAGAGGGGGAGTGGGGCGGGATGTGGTCGCGAGGTGGAAGGGGTCTCGGGTCCACGCCGGTTGGGACGAGGGGAGGTGCGGGATCGGCGGAGGGAGTGGGCGGCGTGGGCGGCGGTTGGAGCTGGCCGGAGGTTGGGGATGACAGGTGGGGTCCATGGGTCCCACCTGTCGGCCTGAGTGAGAGGGGAGGCCGGGAGGGAGGAAAAGCAGACTTGCGCCAAAAAGGGGAGGCAAGCCGGGCCGCGGGAGGGGAAGGAGAGAGGATTTTGGGCCGAGCCCGAAAGGGAGGAAGGGGAAGTTTATTTTGTTTTCTTTTTATTTAAATTGATGCAATGACCTTTGTGCTATTAAAACTATTTCTCGAGCTCCGAAAATTCACGGAAAATTCCGGAGAGTACATTAGGGCACAAAGAATATTACAAAATATTCCCGGCCAATGATTTTTAAGGGAAAATTTTAATTCTCCCAACATTTCACTTGGATAAATTGATTTAACTTTTATTTAATTTCTAGAAAATGTATTATTAATTTATTTTTAAACCCGAACGAAAATCGGGGCGTTACTTGTACTCACCCTTGCTTCAACCACCTTTTTCAGAGTCCATTTGATGTTCTTGCCGAAGTCAGGAGTTCAATCACATAAGTTAGTTCTCTTTTAACTTAATCTTCAAGTCTAGGTAATTTAAATGGTTTAAGTCTATAGTAAAACAACAGAGTTAGGTCATTCTAAAGCTTCTGCTGTAATAGTTAGCCACAATCTCGTAAATACCCTATTACTTTATGTAATATTATCTCCTTCAAAGCTATGTCTAAACGTATGCAAAGACGATCCAGATTGTCGAAGCTGTATCAACCTACTGATCCAGGGCTTGATACAGTTAAACATGTCGGTTTCCGAATCATTAGTTTTGGGACCCGACAGATGGGGAGAAAGGTGACCGCCAACGGGAAGTGGGAGGCAGGCGATGAGGATATAAGGGTGATGGACTACGGGGAGAGGGGCGACATGCTTTGTCTATAGGATGGCGCCGCCCAAGGTCAGGTAGGCTAGGAACGGGTCGAAGTCGTCTTGGCTGGTGGGAGAGAGGTGAAGGTGATGGTGGTACGGGAGGCATTGTTGGCGGGATGCGGATGGACGGATGAGACGAAGGAAGAAGAAAAGAGAAAGGAAAGGAAAAACAAGAAGAAAAAGAAAAGGAGGTGGCAGCCATGTAGGATTTTGGAGGAGTCGTCATAATTTTGGATCAAAAAGATACACTTGATAAAATTACCAGAATCAACATTTAGAGTGTATGGAGATCTACTTGATAACAAAAACAAGTTTAAGAAACAAAAAGCACTTCACTGTTTATTTTTTCCTTTTCTTTCTGTCATCGTGCTAAATGAATCTTATACACTCTATCTACTTCAAAACGAGGATATTTAAATACTGCATCGGATTTTTCATAATTTCTTGCGGCCTCTACCAGCCTTGATCGGTCGCATTCATGTACTATTCATTGTTTTGAATGTCCCTCTGGGCAAAGTCAATAGCAAAAAACACGAATATTCAAATAAATAGAAGAGGTAAGGCTGCGAACCTATACCAGCTAGCCCATCATCTTGTGAAGCTAGCCAGAAGACACTTGGACGTTTCTCAAGTCAATAGCTGTAATTTTTCACTAAAATGGTTGAAAGAAAATCTCAATTCAACAGTCAATTTTTCCCGCGCACACGCCGTATGGCCCGTATCGTGCATATGGTGATAGAATGACGATGACATGATTGGCCGTATGTGCGAGACTAATCAGTGCAAATTTAAGCAGCAAAGGCGAGGTGGCCGTATAAGGCCCTGTATAGATGGGATTAAACTTTTAAGTCCCTATCACATCGGATGTTTGGAAATTAATTATAAATATTAAACGTAGACTATTAATAAAACCCATCCATAATCTTGGACTAATTCGCGAGACGAATCTATTGAGCCTAATTAATCCATGATTAGACTATGTGATGCTACAGTAAACATTCTCTAATTATGGATTAATTAGGCTTAAAAAAATTGTCTCGTGAATTAGCTTTCATTTATGTAATTAGTTTTATAAGTAGTCTATATTTAATACTATAAATTAGTGTTTAAATATAGGGACTAAAGTTAAATCCCTGGATCCAAACACCACCTAATTGTCTTCTTAATCATATTCATTCATCTATAGGCTCTTCACTGTGCTAGATTTTGATCCAAATGGATCATCATCGTCAGATGCAGGACATCCAGCTCGCGCGCTGTTCTTCGCAGCACCATGGCTCGGAGGCGGCGGTGACGGCGAGAGGTGATTCTGCAGGTGGCTTGGAGATGTGCCCGGCTCTGTATCTCGCTGCCTCCAAAGGGCGAGCCGAGGAGGTCATGGCGCTCCTTCTTCAGCCACGGCATGGTGGTGTTGCGCAGGGACATCTTGATCAAGTCAATGGTAAGTAATTGACAGCAATTACGCAGTTTCATGTCCTCTTAGTTTGCTTTTACACATTTAGTATACTTAAAGAGCACTGTTACACGTACTAATTTTCTTTTTAACAATAACCTCAGATAGTTTTATTTAGGAGTTTTTTTACAGTCCAGCAGGTTGGGGCGGTACCAAATCGTAGCCATCGATTGGATCAGATCCAATGGCTGTTATCTGCCGGTACCGCCAGGTACTTGGATGGTACCGCATAATGGTAGAGAGGTGGAAGGGTAAGGTCGTCCTTTCGCATTAGCAATTGTGCGAGTCAAAACTGTGGAGCGATAGGATCCACCGCCGCCGCCGTTCCGGCCCCGTCCTGGTCGCCGTTCCCTCGCCTCCGCACGGCGCCCTCGCCTCGGGCAGGCAGGCGGGCCGGAAGGCCAGAAGCCAGAGCCGTAGGAGCCACCTTGCCCTCTCCTCCCTGCATCGTGATGGGGAGGCCCCTCCTGTCATCTCCGACGGCAACCACTGCCATCGCGACTTCGCAGCCGGCGCTACAGGAGACGAAGCAAGGAAGATGAAGCTGCAATCTTACAGCCGACGCTTCCTCACTCCTTCCGGGATGTTCGGTACATAGCCCCATCTAGACATCTAGTCATCTTGCCACACATGCATTGCAAAACCTTCGTGCTTGCACAAGCTGCAGCAGTAAGCTTTCCCAGCGCACGGCCCAGCGTGAGCAGCAACGTCGGCGGAGCAATCAAGTCGACCACCACAACGATGCGATATTGCCATACATCTTGCCGATTTATGAACCAGGATAGTTTGAAGTGCGATGACCTAGTCTCAGCCGTAGAAACAAAATTCAATGGGTGAAGTTGAGGCCAACTCCAGGATGACCTTCTGCGCTAGGCAGCGGCGGATTTTGCGCTCGCGCTGGAGGGGGCTGTATGGAATCGAGGATTTGGCGGCGATGATGGAGGAAGTTAGCACGCATGATGGCAAGGATATTGGCGTTGGCGGGAAAAAAAATTGGTGGAGACCGGGTGTAAATTAGCTCCCGTGCAGCCCCGATCCCGATGATTGCCGCGTGGACAATCGTAGAATCGGACGTTTAGCTCGTTGCGGCTTCAGGCACAGCGCAAATAAGATGAGCCTCGCTCGACTCGGCTCCCGGGCACGCCGGCTCGCGGGCTCAGATCCCTCTCCTACCGGCCTCATTCGTCCGCAGTCGCCGCCGCCGCCGGCTGCCAGCGGCGCCTCTCTCATCTACTGTCTCTCATCCGCCACCGCTCCCTCTCTCAGACGTCGTCCTCTCGGCGGTGATGGCGAGGGCAACCGGCTCGTTCGCCACTTCATCACAAATTCACAATTGACGACACCCACTGCGGCAACTCCATGCATGGTTTCGTTTCGGCAAGAAACTTAATTACCGGTAAGGAGATTGAGGTTGAGGATGATGACACGGAGGCTGTACACATCGGTCTTGTCACTCATCTTCTTGAACTGCACATTATGCCATCAGAAAATGTTAGTGGCACTATCAGTATCATGTATATAGATGCAGATTCTCAGTTTATATAGATGAAACCCAAGAAATGTAGCGTGAATTTGGAGCAAATTTGTTCAGAGAGACAGAAAGGTACTAGATAATATTAGTAAAGCATTGTTGTTAAACAAAAGTCTGCCATTTACTTTATCCGCTGTTCACATATTGGCCAGAATATGATATGTTAATTTGTTCAACTGAACTTGACAGTCTTTTACTGAAATATACAGGCCCGGCCCTGGGGCAGGGCGAGCAGTGCAAGCGCCCTGGGCCCCGCCAAGTCAGGGGCCCCCTGACCAGGTATACGTAAGTAGGTTTGCTATTGCCATCGTACAATTCGTTGATTTCCAGTGGATCGCATCGTCTGCTTTGCAATCCAACAACAGCGTAAAAACACAAGCCCCTTAATTTATTGAGGCCCATACGCGTAGCTATAGAAGGCAGAGCAGTCATTTGATTGGTCAAGCAAGCCTATAGGCTGATGGCCAAGGTGATTATCATTTATCAACAATTTTAGTGCTACTACTCCTTAATGAAGGGATCACTGATATTGATTTTTTTGAAAGGATCACTGATATTGATTTTGAACCCATAAATACTAGATTTGTAAAAATTACTCCATCGGGCCATACATATTTAAAATTCTAACCATCAAATTAATCTACATTGGAAAATCTTCATAAAATATGATAAGTTTAAGATACTATGATTAAATTTTTTTATGCAAATCTGTTTTTCTTATGCTACTCTAAAATGAAGTTTTCTTCAATTCTGGCACCTAATACAATTAAAAAAAACGAACTCAATATAGGGCCCTAATTTTTGTGTCGCCCTAGGCCCCTAAAATATTAGGACCGGCCCTGGAAATATATGCACTGACCAAGTGACCATGAAGAAATGAAATGCTCATGTCTCCAAAATCTTCAGTATGTATCAAATCGAAATGGTAGAGGACTAAAATCAATATTGTACTTTGTCAAATCTAATTAGAATCTGCAAACATTCAGACTGCATCCATTGAAATGTAGCAGTTAACAACTATATTAAAGTTTGAATGCAGAGGCCCAAATCAAACTAATAACTAATCAAATCAATCCTGCACCATGGTAAGAAAAAAGCCCGTGATCGGGAAGAGATAGCAGCTACTGCCCACAGGAAGATGGAGTACATCTCTGCACTAGCCGCCGGCAAACAGGGCAACCTCGTCCCAGGCGGCGCTGTGTCGTCTTCGTCCTCAGTCAGGGCGGTCGCCATCGGCCACTCGCTATCACCGCCATGCGGACGACGGATGAGAGAGGTTGTGTCGGTGGCAATGGCTGCTGCTGAGAAGAGATATCGATGTGATATGAGCCGGTGAGCCGGTGAGCCGACGGGCCCGGGAGCCATCGAGCGAGTCGGCTCCTCCATCCTGTTTGCGCTGCGCCTGGAGCCATGCATAGCGAGACGTCCGATTCTGTGATTGCCACGCGGCAATCATCGGGGTCGGGGCTGCACGGGAGCCGGTTTACACCCGGTCTCCACCAAATTTTTTTTCCCGTTGGCGCGTGAGGACGAGGAGATTGCGGCGGCATCTGCACGCGCATGTGTGTCACGGGCCTTCTCCGCCCCTTTTCAATTCGTTTCCTATCGTGCCCTGCTAATTCAACGGTTGGATTTCATTTGGTACCTGGTGGTACTAGTACCTCGAGGTACTATCTGCTGGACCGTAACAAACCTCTTTATTTAGATAGATGGAAAAGTTATAAAATATTTATATGCATAATGCATTCATATCATGAAGTAAGAATTTAGTACGTATACTACTTAATTAGCCGACAAGGAAGAACGCGGATGATCGATTTGGATATATGGAGTATTTGCTGAAATTTCCCCCTTTCTTAAAAACTATATTAATCTATATTTTTTTAAAAACAGTTAATACTTAATTAATCATGCAATAATAAGTGCTTCGTTTTGTGTGACGGCAAGGAGGGGCCGAACACAGTTTGAGTCATTTTTCGGCCGAACTCTGAATTAATTACCGTTAGTGACCAGTTTACCCTAAAAGCTTAATCCAATATCCGTGTAAAAAAATTACTCAGGTGTTCTACAGCGGCATGGCCAGTGCAACATATCAGAGGTGAGCGCGGAGAGTAACACCGTGTTTCACGTGGCTGCGGAGCAAGGACACGACGAGCTGATCCGGGAGGTGTACCTCAGGTTCAAGGAGAGCAGCCTCCTCTCTCGCCGGAACTCGTCGCAGGACACGCCGCTGCACTGCGCGGCGAGAGCCGGACACGCCGGGGCCGTCACGGCCATCGTCCAGCTGCTGGCCCTGGACAGCATCCTGGGATGCAAGAACGAGGCCGGAGATACGGCCCTTCACCTGGCGGCGAGGAACGGCCATGGCGCGGCGGTAGAGGCCCTTGTCTCGGCGGCGGCGCCGGAGCTGTCCTCCGAGCTGAATGCCGCCGGCGTGTCGCCGCTGTACTTGGCGGTGATGAGTAAGTCGGTTACAGCCGTGAAAGCGATCATTACCACGTGCAGCGATGCATCGCCCGTTGGGCCGAACAAGCAGAATGCTCTGCACGCTGCCGTCTTCCAGATCTCAGGTCATGATCTCATTTGCTTAACACCCACTCTAGCTATCAAGCGCATGAGCAAAAATGTCACATCATGTTCATTAATTTGCAGAAATGGTCGACCTGGTATTGAAATGGAAGCCAGCTCTGTCTGGACAATGCGACGTCAAAGGCAGCAGCCCGCTCCATCTCGCGTCGTCCGACGGCGACCGCTCCATCGTAAGCGCGATCGTGCGCGCCGCGCCGCCGTCCACGGCGTTCCTGAAGGACTCGGACGGCCTCTCGGCCATCCATGTCGCCGCGCGGATGGGCCACCACCATGTCGTCGAGGAGCTGATATCTGCCTGGCCCGACGCCGCCGAGCTCCGCGACGGCCGCGGCAGGACGTTCCTCCACGCCGCGGCCGAGAAAGGGCACGCGCCGGTCATCTCGCTCGCCGTCAAGAACCCGATGCTTTGCGGCATCGTGAACGCGCAGGACAAGGATGGCAACACGGCGCTCCACCTCGCGGTGGCTGCAGCCGCGTCCAAGGGACTAGCCGCACTACTTTCCGCCGGAGACAACGTACGAGTCAACATCATGAACAACGATGGGTACACACCGTTTGATCTCGCTGCCAACTCGTCTAGCTTCCTCTCCATGGTAAGCAAACAAAAAAAATTTGCTATCTACAACTCGTCATGATTTTATCCAGAAAATTTTTGTAACCTGGTCAACTCTAACTACATTGAGTATTTACTATAAAAAATCATTTTTCTTTAGAATTACATGCACACTCATCTCTAAGAACACACGCACGCAAACCCTACCCATATAAGCATTTTCGAAGACTGGGCCGGCAAGCCGGAAAATCTTTGAGATTAACGAAGTCACCACTACAGGCACTTCGCTGTTGACGGGTACGTTGCCTACACCGAAAGCACGAAGTTGTTAAATCATGAAAAATTCGCTCGCATGGAGAGTCGAACCCAGGACCTAAGGTACTACTGCTGAGGCTCATGTAACAACTATGTTACAGGCCCTTTCACATAAAAGATATCTTTTTTGAACCATTAAGATAGCATCAATGTTAACATGCATGTAATATTAAGCGTTTGCTGTCAGCTGGTTGTCAGGCCCTCGGTCACCAATACAAAACTTGTACAATATAAAAGACTCCAACTTTAGTGCAAAATCTATTATTTATATTGGTAGAAATTAACTTCTCCTATAACCCATCTATTTAAATGCCATTTTGGAATTTTTTAGGATGTTTTATTTATTGGCTGATATTAATTATGATTTTATATACTTGTTGTAGAAAAGCACTCTATTATATATGTTTTTTTCGTTAATTTCATTTCAAATACATATTATATGCATATTTGTTTTCAATTCAAATACATATTCATATGCATATTTCTTTAGAACGATTAAATTTCAAATTGTATACATGAAAAATATGCATCGGTGCACATAAATCATTTTGCTGTTGTTTATATATAATTTATAGTTCTAAATCAAGTTTTCTTACCAGAGTTAATTATTAAGTTTTACTAAGTTTGAGTAGTAATTACTAAGTTTTACAAAATAAGGAGTTTTACCATAGTTTAAGATACAAATTGTTATGATACATATATAAGTTGATTAATATGAAATTAGAGTCAATAATATTGTCTATTTTTTATCATTTAAATTTCAAAATTAATTCTTATGATTCAAGCCGATTTCTTATACGAATTGCAATTGTTATTGTCTACTAGTTTTTCAACTCCAAATTTCAATATTAATTTTTAGTGTAGAAATTAGTTTATACAATATATTGCACTAGTTTCCTTTCTTTCTTTATTCTTAATTTTAATTAATTTCTCTGTATCTGTAGCAATTTGGTGCTACAAGTGGACAATATATGGTTATATCCTTATATTTTTCTGTAGTTAACATAAAATTTTCCTCGAACATTCTCTAGTTTGGAGTATGTTGAAAAAGTACTTTAATGTGGTGAACTCAATTTTGCTAGTCGTTATGTAACATTTGGCTCATAAGCATGGAGTAGATTACAGTTTGGACCAATTTTTATTACCAATATCTTATATTGGATAACGGAATTGCCTTTTTTTTTTCACTTTAAACCATGTTCTATTACCAAGTTTTGCACTTTGGAGTACCTGTAGGCACGCACATCCGTGACAGAAGAGTTTCTTCTTCATTATGCTGTGTTCGGCAGCCGTACAGTGAGCATGGAGAAAATAGAGCGATTCATTAGCACGTGATTAATTAAATATTAGCTATTTTTTTTAAAAATAGATTAATTTGATTTTTAAAAGTAACTTTCGTATAGAAACTTTTTGCAAAAAAAACATCGTTTAGCAGTTTGAAAAGCGTGTGCGCGGAAAACGAGGGAGATGGGTTGGGAAAAGGGGTGCCGAACATAGCCTAAGAGCAAGTTTAATAGTATAGCCAACTATGTGCTCCAATTTAATAGTCAATTCATATAATAGTTGCTTACTATACTACTGTAATATCTGGTCCCACCTTTCATTTACACATTACGTTTTAGAGTTCGTGCTACAGCTGGCTACAGGGATGTAGCTCGCTGCTATTCTCTCTTCTTTTTTACCTCTTTAAAATATGTTTATAGCTGGCTTATATGCTGCTATTGTACTTGCTCTCATAGTCTTCTGATCTTCTCCTTGAGACTGAATCCGGGAAAAAGGAGAGGAAGAAGAGAGATATGAGAACAAGCAGAGAAGATACCTGGTCTAAAGTGAATATTTAGTTTAACCCTAGTCCAATATATATGCAATGTTGGTAAACTAAACTAGTTTAATATATTATTTACTCGATGAGAGTAATATCATGTACATATAAATGGTGCAGATAAGCCTTGTGGTGACACTGTCTGCCTACGGGGCACAATCCTGCCCGCAGAGGCAAGACCACCTGAATCAATGGAGAGGCAATGACACAACAGATTGGATAAGGAAGACGTCCAACAGCCTCGCTGTCGTGGCCGTGCTCGTCGCCACCGTCGCCTTCTCCGCCACGTTCAACGTGCCCGGGGGCTACGGGGACGATGGCAAGGCGGTCCTCCAGGCGAAGACCGCCTACAAATTCTTCATCGTCTTCGACAGCGTCGCCATGACGACTTCCGTTGTCGCAGTGATACTTATTGTGTATGGGAAAGCATCTGGTTCATGGAAGAGCTTCATTTTAGCTCTGCACTTCATGTGGGTTTCGATGATCGGCATGATCGTGGCTTTCTGGGCGGCTCTGGTCGCCGTCATGAGAAGGAGGACAATCAATATTGTGATATACGAAGTCATAATCAATGGGATCTATGTCTTGGTCTTGAGCATCATGATCTTGACTAAGCCGGCGTCGTGGATCAGCTTCGTGAAGTTTATGTTCAGCAGTTTATTGCCTGAGAGACATCACAGGCGTGTCGCTCGGCAGTATCCGTTTGCCGGCACTTACTCGCGTAACTATTCTGTCTTCGTTGTCACAAACATCTTGGCATACGTTGGTGCCTTCTTGGCACTTTCAAAAAGCTGATTAAGCTCTGGTCAGTTCAAGTCCATAGCTGCATCGTGCATATATGGCTACATCTGATCGTTGGTCTATATCTATCTATAAGACTTAATGGATAATAACGTCTAGGCTTTTCTGGGACAATTGTGTATTTGTGTGTACATATATGATATATATTGTTAGACTATACTGTTTGCATGTATCTTATCTCCTCAAATCCCTGTTCCTTATCCTTCCGATTCTGTTGCTATAAGTTAGTTGAGTGGTTATATGGACGGGCTTATATATGTAAACACTCCGTGATCAATACAATTGCGTTGAGTTATTCCTTCCCACATGGTACCAGATTCATCTCCGCTTTCGCTCCACTCCAAACCCAAACCCCCGCGTGCTCTCCTTAGCGCCGCACGACGCCATGTCGTTGCCCTTTTCCTCCGAATCTGCAAGCACCGCTCTTGAGAAGGTTGTCAAAGCCATCGCCGACGCGGTGCGCGACTCCTTCACTACCTCTGCCTCTACCGACGTCGATCCAGGCACCGCTTCGACTATCGCCAACGTCGCTGCTAAGCACGCTTCTCAAGCCCCCCACGACGCCATCACCAATGCCTTCGCCTCGCTCTTTTCCTCCTCCACATCCCCAGCGCCGATTGATCCACCACCGACTACTGACACTACGACTCCTCCGGTATCCACCGTGCCGATTCCCCCACCGATCTCCTCGGCCCCCTCCGGTGCGGCCTCTCTGCCGCCTGTCCTGGAGTCCCTCTTCGCCGTGGCTCGTCTTGCTGTAGGGCCATCTGCATCCGGCTTCTACAACACGACGCTCTGGAGTCCCTCACTCCCTCTTCATTGTGGCTCTTGGCAAATATGCTTTGGCATACCACGTTCTCTTCAGCGCTTACTACCCCGACCACTCCGACTGGCTTCAGATGGATTGCATTGTTCTCTGGTGGCTGTACGGCTCCATCTCTGCCGGTCTCCTCTAGGAGGTTATGTCGCACACCGCAACCGCACACTCCATCTAGCGAGTGCTCAAGTTGCAATTCCTTGGCAACAGTGAACGACGTGCGCTCAATCTCTCTGTTGAGTTTCGCACATTCCATCAAGTTGACCTATCTATCACCGACTACTGCCGCAAGATGAAGGCCATGGCGGACTCCCTTGGCGACCCTGTCACGAACCGCTATCTCGTCGTCACCACCCTCAACAGTTGGAGCTCCAAGTTTGATAATATGCAAACCTTAATAACGATGCAGTGCCCATTCCTGTCTTTCGCCGACGTGCGCTCTCAACTTCTACTTGAGGAACTCTCCAAGGCGAACAGGCACACCGACCAGTCCACTGTCTTCCTCGCCAGCACCTTCGCCAAGCTGCTCGTCGGCTCCAACCCCGCCCACGCCACCTATTTCGGTGCAGGGAACAAATGCGGCTCCAACGAGAATCAAGGCTGTGGGAACAATTCTTCTCGCAATCACCGATGTCGCGGCGGCAGAGGCGGTGGTGGTGGCGGCAACCAGCCGAGCAGCATCGCGCCTCACCCTCCAATGAACCAACCCGAGTACTGGCCCACACCACAAAATTCGTGGGCTGGTGTTGACGGTCATTAAGTGCAAACTTTAACCGTCAACTCATACATAAAAGATATCAAATATACTATCAAAACTTAGTGGTAGGAGTTTATTACTAACCATTTCCACTAGTTTTGGTATATATATATATATATATATATATATATATATATATATATATATATATATATATATATATATATATATATATATATGCAGGTTAATTAAGGAGAAAATACACCCAATATACCATGAAAATGTTCTTCGACCAATTATGTGCGAGTACAAGGATCGGAGGACCCACATGACAGTATAAACCGACTTAAGAGGGGCCAAACCATCGTCAACTACCTCAGGGGCCGGGCCCACAAGTCATATACAGGAGAAATGCGATGGCCAGAGACGGTGGAGGTGGTTCGGCCGAACTCCCCTTGGCACCACTAACTACCATCTTTGTGGCGATCCCCTATTGGGCCCCAATGATGGTTACCTGTGTTTATCGACTTATATGCAATGCAAACCTGCGAGTGTGACGAGGCGTCATGGCGGACAAGAACTAGTCCATATATTAAGGCGAGGGTAGGAAAAATTGAAGGATTGGTGTTATATTAAGAATAAGTCAGATTGATCAGATATTTCTGGACGCATATATATACTACTGGCTGATTCCTAGATGCTGGAACCTTAGGACACGTATTCCGAAATTTTTTTGAAAATATACTGTTTGTCCATTGATTTTGTAAAAATATATCGGATAACGAAGGTTTTGCGGAAATATACTATCGGTATCGCTGTTTGGAAGAGCGATACTGATGTTCGCATCTGAAAAGTGCGATAACGTGGCGAAATCGCGATGTGAAAGAGCGAAAGCGAAGTTGAGTTGGCGGTATCGCGGAAGCGAAAGGCGAAACTGCAGCGGTATCGCTTTTCCGTAGCGCGAGAACGCCACGTGGAGAAATCCACGAAACTACCTCAGGCGGAGCCATCGCTCTCGCTTTTTCGTTGCGCGAGACCAAGGTCGGTATCGTAATCCGAAAGCGCGAGACCGAGAGTGACGCGACGGGGGAAATGTGGGCACGCGGTATCGCGCTTTGCGCGCGCGAGACCGGTGACGCGGCATGCGCGAAAGCGAGAAGGCCACATATGCGCAATTAGCTCACCGCTCTCACGCCCGCGAGGTGCGATATCGCTCGCGGTCTCGCGCTTTCAAAGAGCGAGACCGAAGCCATCGCTGTCGCCTCCCACGGGATTAGCAGCTGATTAGGGGTGGGCCACGCCGCAACGGTATCGCGCTAGCCGACCGCGATACCCCTGGCGCTCTCGCTCGCGTATAGCGCGATACTGACCGCGCTCTCGCTAGCACATAGAGCGAGACCTCTCCGGGACCCACGTGCGTCAGACGGCCCCCGTCGCTACGGTCTCACGCGAGCCGACCGCGATACTGCACACGCTATTGCGCACTCAAAGTGCGAGACCGCTTCCTGGCCCGAGTGCGTCAGGCGGCGTCGGCCGGCCGGCCCACGCTAAAAGTGCGAGACCACTTCGCTCTCGCGCTTTCCGAATGTGAGACCGATGCATTAGCGCTCCCTCCCTCTCAATTAGCGATAGCGCCGCCGCTTTCGCGCATTCCATGCGCGATGATATCGCGCTCTCGCACATTCAAAGCGCGATGCCAGTATATTTCCGCAAAACTGCCCCTAATCAACCTACTTTTGCAATTCCGGTCAAAAACACGTATATTTCCAAAATTTTTTCCACGTATTCCTTGTAGGAAAAATAGCATTAATCCTGGCTCAAGCGTATGCAGTACGACCTGATAACGACTTGATCAGCTTAATATTTATAGTTTTTTTTAGATAATAGATCCGCTTTATATAGTTATACATGCATATAGATCGAGCAAAGGAGCATAGAACACTTGGTGAGGCCATTCACAGCATCAAATTCAGTCTTGATCAGGCGGTTAATTAATTTATCCCCTAGCTAGCTACACATATTATTGAATGGATCGTAGTCGACATGTAGTCCAGCTCTCGCGTTGCCCTCCGGGAAAAAAATTGAAAATATACCCTTTTTTTAATATTTTATGTTTATATATCTGCATGAAAAATATTTGCACAAATATACCTTCGCCGCACGGCGGGGACGCGGGACCGAGTAGTGCCGCTCTTCCATTCCGCGGGACTGGCGGTCGCGCAGAACGTCCATGCGGCACCGTCTCGCTCCCGCGGCGCGGAAGTGCGGCACCGCCTCCCTCTCGCGCCCACGCGTCCCGAGACGGTCCCGCGTCTCCGTTGTGCGGGACCGCGCCGGTCGCGCGTCGCCAATGCGCGGGACCGCGCCGATTGCGCGTCACGGTTGCGCGGGACGGCTCGTTCCCGTCCTCTGCCACGCGCTTATTATATGACAGCGAATTTATACTGCGTGGCACTATTTAGGACTGTTTTTTTTACTGTTTGTCACTGTTTTGTCACTGTTCATGGGCAATCCCGCGGTTCCAATGTGCGGAAGCGCCCCACGCACAGTACGAAACAGTGTTGCACAGTGCGAAACAGTGCCCAAACACTTCAACAGTGTTCAACAGTACGCAGAGTATAAAAATCGCTAGCACACACGGTGCCGCATATTGGAACCGCGGGACCGCGACGGTCCCGCGTTTTGGAGCTGCGGAACCGTTGCAGTGCCGCGCGGTCTACCGCGGGACTGACGGTCCCGCGTTTTGAAGCTGCGGGACCGTCGCGGTCCCGCATTTTCATCCCGCGGGACGAGTATATTTTTACAAAAAAATTCCATGCATATATATAAATATAAATTATTGAAAAAATAAGTATATTCGCAAATTTAATTCTTGCCCTCCGCAGCAGCCGCCGGCAGCTGGTTCTTCGGCGTCTGCAGAGCGTCGCACGGATCGAGATGATGTGCCCGTCTCTGTATCTCTCGCTGCACACGGAGGGCCAGCGGAGGATGCCATGGCGCTGCTCCTGCAGCGACGGCACGGTGCTGATGCAGGAGGAGATCGTCATCATCATCTCGCTGGTAAGTAATATTAACAGCACACACAGATCTCGAGTTTACTGCCGACTCTTCTTCATTGAATTTTTTTTCTCTTGATAAACTTGCGCAACGAATAGCCTAAACTTATTATACTCCATTTATTCTAAAACACAGCTACTTTTAGATTTACTATTTTTAGATGGACTAAAGGCAAGAGTAAAATTATTGTGTACTTCTAAGAGCAGGTACAATAGCAGGCTATTAGCTAGCTATAAACATATTTTAATGAGATAAACGATGAGAGAGAAGAGCAGTGGGCTACAGATTTGTAGGCAGCTGTAGCACGGACTCTAAGACACAATGTATGTATAACAGGTGGGACCATATATTAATAGTATAGTAAGCAACTATTGTATGAATTGGTTATTAAATTGGCTATAGATGAATTGGAGGTAGTAGTGTGCTATACTATGGAACATGCTCCATTGGCGGATCTGTTTTAGTTTGTTTAATCTCTACTATTATTTTTTCCTATATCCGATCTATGTTGAGCGGTCCGTATATATCTTCTAGTAAATGGAGGTGTTAGCGCTAGCTGGCTTGTTTTGGGAATTGGGAAATATACGTAACATCAAGCCATACATCAAGGTGGTTTTGAATGTAGAAGTATATAGGAGTATCTTGGACTTCTTATCTTGGTTTTTTATACTAAGTTCTCAAAAAAAAAATCTTGGTTTTCATATAGAGCTGTATCTTTCTTGACAAGGCCTCCAGTAATCCTATTGGAACATGTAGCAATGTCGTGGTTGCAACCTGCAAACGTCATGCTCATAGATCAACAACACTTGCAAGTTTTCGTTCCACTGTAATCCTTAATTAGACTTTGACTTGTCCTACATTATTTTATTACTATGATAGCTACAATATAAAAATCCTGTGTGAGTTATTTTTAATATGAAGCTTACTATCTGCACCAAATATACATTATGATTAATCTTTTGTATAAACTATTACAAAGTTTGATGATATTTTTGGAGACTTGGATGCCTTATATACAGCTGAATGGCCCAAAGTTACTTGGCACAACCTTGATTTCCTTGAGATACCCCCGGATGAGATTGTATGAAGGAGTATCCGTACCTGTTTGGCCGGCAGGGACGGATCCATAATTCTAATAGAGAAGGGTTTATCTCATTCTTCCTCCTTAAGCCACCTTACTCTTCCTTCTCTTTCTCTTCTTCCCACTCCCCTCTCTTCTTACCTCAATGGTGATCTAGTGGGGTAGGGGAGACTTGAGTCCCCCCGGCATCTACATTGAATCCACCCTTATTGGCAGAGCTTTCAATTTTTAAATTTAATTTTAAGAGCTAGGTCTGGAATAGAGTTGTGGAGCAGCCTAAATCCCGCTCCATCTCTCTAACTCATTTTGTGAGAGCATTTTAATTAGCTCGCTCAACTCCCATTTTAGGTGGACATAAGACCATTTTGGTTAGGCTCCAGCTCCAGGATGGAGCTAGACATGGAGCTCTGCCAAATTAGCCATTAATATCGCCATTTAAATAGAATTCAAATATGTGTAGTCCTTGTGTGATTTTCTATACAAATTAATGTCTAACTTTCATCTAATTTAGTTTCAAACTTTGTATGATGCCCCTATTGGTAAGATAATAAATCTACTTATATTACTAGCTAAATGCCCGTGTGTTGCAATGGAGTTTTAAAAGAGAACCTCATCTTTCTAAAATCATTCCACATTGTCTAATCACGAGACTATTAGATTTTATTATTGGTTTTTGGTTACTTTCATAGACTGGTTCTCTTTATTTAATTGTTATAAGGACAAGTGAGATATTATAAAGAATCAAAGTTTAACAATTTTAAGTTATTCCAAACAGGTAGTAATTTCGCAACCAGCATGTGCATCTGGTTGCTGGCACATCTCGCGTCGTCGATGTAACACCCCAGGTAACCGCGTACCCCGCCCTATGCCGATCAAAAGTCATTAGGTACCTAAAAACCAAATTAAACACAAGAGTGAGTAAAGATTACTCAGCAAGTACAACATTAAACTAGTAAAACATAGACAAGTTTAATGCAATAAGAAACCAATATGAAAATTTGGATTTACATTATTCTAAAACAAAGAAGTCAAAATATAGTAGTTCACTCCCGGGCAGGTATGAATATCCTCTTAGCATTACCGGTAAGCCGAGCAAGCGTAATCAACGCTTCTCAAGGATCATGAACAAAGATCCAAATTGCACTCCCATGACTACGCATGGTACTTGAATAATGTAAACAAAAACTTCCAGATGAATGAAACATGAATAACATCGTGAACTTGAACATGAAATGAAACATGAACTTTCTGTTTTGGGAATGATGCCTTATTTTTTGGTAGAAGATTATCAGGTAATCCATAACATCTCACTGCCCCCGCACTTATGTGAGAATATGTGAGAATATATGGGACATGCATGAAACTAAGCTTACATGTCAGTGAGATATGAGTGATATATTCAGAATAAAACTCATTGATATAAGAAGGATGATTGTGTAGAGAGTTTATTTTGGGTATCAAAGGGAAATTTTTACAGCTAATAAAACCATCCTGTATATATTTTACTCTGGAGGAATGAGATTGGAGGCGCCTCCACCAACCATCTTGTTCATACATATTTTACTTGATGTATAGTTTTAATTTGGATTTGAAATATTGTAAAAGGGGTATGTATAAATTGTACTATAAAGGTAATAATTGAAAATTTTCAACATAATTCGAAATTCATTCTCTCTCTCTCTCCTTTTTAACCGAGCCAAGCCATAGCTGATTGATTGTTATATTAAGCACAAACAGGGATACTGCTAAGACAAGCTAGTCGACCTGATCCAGGCCAGCCAGCCTTCCGAGCCTTGAACCAAGCTATATAGCCGTTCGTCCGAGATCCAGGGATGGCGTGCCGGACTTCACACGGTCGAATCGCGATGAGCTCGATCGCACGCGGCTCGCTATGTACAAACCGCCACCGTCCGTCGGCGTGGCTCTTCAGTCCAATGCCTCCTCCTTCAGCCTCTTTAGAGTAAAAACCGGATTATCCTTCGTACTCCCTCCGTTTTTCTTTATTTGACCCTTCAGACATGTTTGACCAAATTAAGAAACGGGTGAAATAATTAAAATGTAAATGGGCCGTGGAGTAGGATGATGGGCCTTATAAGGCTAGCCCAAGCGTTAGCTGAACTTATAGTGAACCGCCGGTTCTTACTAGCCCGGTTCGTTCCTATTGGGTCAAATGCATAATCGGTCTTTTTACTAAACCGAACCGGTGAGAGGCCTGATTCCGGTTCAACCGCCGGGGTGGTCCGGTTTTTTATACTAGGATCAAAACCGCGAACGTAAACACTGATCCGATTTGAGCTAGAACGTCAAATAAAATAACAGAGAGAGTTTTAAATAAAAAGACACACTCATCCTGTCAGGTAGTCACATATCGATGTTTTTAGGATTGCAGGCTAAGCAAGCAAAGCTCTTGAAAATTTTTCTAAAGCAAAATGTACTAGTACGATACGAGTAAAAGATGTTCTCCTATGTGTGTAAAAATGACCGTTCGTCCCTTTTTCTAGGGCAAGGGGATTCGATCTCTAGAACCGGGTGAGATGAATAGAAGATGTTCTTCAGATCTGGACTTCTTTACATTTTTTTTTTGTCAAAAACAACCCAATTCTAAAAGTGTTTGTCCATATACATATTTAGAATTGGATTTTTTTTAACAGAGTGAGTACATGCTACACTTTTGGAGCCATTGTTTCACTTAGCATATTTGCAAACGAAAGGTAATTTGTGAATAAAACTTTTATATACGTATTCTTAGCTATCTAGTTCCCCCGTTTTATAATGTTAGACTTTCTAGCGTTGCCCACATTCCTGTAGATGTTAATGAATCTAGACACAACGTCTATATGCATATGGGTAAAAGCAAATGATGAAAAAAATTTTGATAAAAAAAACCTTAAAATCAGCTCCAAATTTAAGGTTAAAAAATTTAATTTTGACTGATAAATAAAAGCCTAAGCGAAAAGATAAGACCTTTTGTTTGGTTTGAAACTGACCGCAGTAAATTTGTTTCACGCTGTTGAGAGTATAGGAGACTTTGCCATGACAGTAGCAGCAGCAACAAGGAAGGGTTGCAGAGGCCGGGCAATTCACCGCCTCAAATTCAGTCCAGATTAGGCCGTATCATCTCCCTCCTAGCTCTGCCACAGTCCACAGCTAGTTCGTACTCGCATATATTCCTCTCTAGTTCTTCGCGCAGTAGCTATAGCTAGCCAGATATATACTCCATCAATGGATCACCATGTCGTAGTCCAGCTCGCGCAGCACCGTTATTCAGGCTCGCCGTCCGCAGATCAGCCACCTGCGGCGGCGGCGAGTGGTGAGTCGACGCCTCGCATGGAGATGTGCCCGTCTCTCTATCGCGCTGCACGCAGCGGCCGCTCGGAGGAGGTCGTGGCGTTGCTTCTGCAACAACGGCACGGCGCTGGATCAGCAGCAGGACATCGTCATCAAGTCGCTGGTAATTTGATTAATTAACAGTAAACCACAGACAGAGTATTGCTGCAGTCTGGTTCATTTGCGAAGAGAGTATTTTACTGCAGCATATGCCATCTTAATTGATTCTCTCCAATCAATGTGAAACTCTTTACATAGTTTGAGTTATATAACAGGTCTGTTGTGTTTGAGAGGAGGTGATTGTAGAAGATCCTCGCAACGAGGTGAGTCACCAGTGTATGATTAATCAAGGAGAGAATCCATTATTTACCACTGACTTTATCACACGTCTACGATTTGCCACTGACTTTATCATGTTCTACAATATGCCATCGACTTTTGCTTAACTTCTACAATTTACCATCGCCGTCCGGTTAGTCTCCGTTAGTACTATACAAATTTGTCAAAATGACCAAAATACCCCTGGGAGAAAAGGTTTCAAAATTTGGATAAAAATTATGAAATATCATATTTCAAGTTTTTGGTCAAATTTTGGATGTTTACAATCTTATGTTTATAATATAATATTTTGATAATTTTATCCAAATTTTGGAAGTTTTTGTCATAGGGGTATTTTGGTCATTTCGATAAATTTGTATAGTACTAACGGTGGCTAACCGGACGGTGATGGTAAATCGTAGAAGTTAAGCAAAAGTCGATGGCATATTGTAGAACGTGACAAAGTCAGTGGCAAATCGTAGACGTGCGACAAAGTCAGTGGCATATAATGGATTATCTCTTAATTAAGTATTAATTATTTTAAATTTAAAAAATAATATAATATAATTTTCAAACCATTCCTATGAAATCTTTTTAAAAAACACATTATTTACAGTTCAGGAAGGTGTGGTAATCGAGGAGCTTTTCTTTCCAATGTGCTTCAAATGAACACAGCCGGATGTCTTTTTTCAAAGATATAAGTGTATATACAATTGTATTATTTATCAGCTGTCTAACTTTTTCTAAGTTATTGGCTGGGTAATAGCTAACCTAACCTTATACAATAATACAACACATGAAAAATTGTAACTTGAACATATAATTAGTCATGTATTGTTGATATTATAGACATATAATGATTTAATCTATTCCATAAATAAATCATGACATTACAGATGAAAACTAGCATGAACGCATCATTAGATCTATACATGTAAACTACATAGTATAATATGAACAGATCAAATATGCGCAACATATTGAACACGTACCGAGGTGACGTAAAGACCGGTTGCTTGGTTGAAACTTTTCGCAGGTGTCTACGAAGGCACGAAACACGCGAGCGAAGAGGAAGGCGAGCCGTCGCGAACAAACAGGGAGCAGTCGCGCGAAGCGCTTCCCAAAAACCTTATTGCCGCCTTCTCCCGGTGCAGAACGTCAAAGGCAGAGGTTCCGGAGACCTGCTCTCCCGATCGCCGGTGCACGCCGGCGAGCGGGATGGAGTAGTCTACGAGCGACGGCGCAGTACAGAGTAGGAGGCAAACCCTAGATTGATTTCGCAAGTGTTGCGTGAAGACGGCAGGTCGGTTTATATAGAGAAGGGTCGCTTGATCAGGGCGCCCGCACGATCTCTACTGCGCGTAACCGAACCGGATAAGTCGCGCGTAACTTATTCGGACTCTACTGCGCGTACGTCGTGCACGCGCGCCGCCTGCCCTGCCAGGCGAGGCGAGGCGAGGCGAGGCGAGGCGAGCACGTGTTTCCCCTCTTCTCTCCACCACACATGCTTCAAGTGGCTAGGAGGACATCCTCCCTTTTAAGGAGGTCCCCCTCTCCTAGAATAAGCAAGGTGGTACTAAACTCCACATGCATGCCATCCCATGAGGTGGGCTTTTGTGATTTTCCAAAGAATTAATCTTCGTGTGGGCTAAGGCCCATTCATTAATTCCAACATGTATAACAAACCAAGGCAAGTATTATTTCGTTCGCGGTTGGCCATGAGATCACGGTGACTCGTGGTCACACATTCCAGCTATGTTGGATACTTGGATATATCCAAATCATTCACTGTGTCGATAGGTACAACTACCATGCGTTCTTTTTCGGCTAATGGCCAGTGAATATTGTTTTCGCATTATTAATTAATTAATGTTACGCTTCTAAAAATATGATTTAATGTCACTACGACTCATTGGCATTAATCAGCATTGCTTACATATAACTCGTTCTAAACTACTCCCTCCGTTTCAAAATATTTAACACCGTTAACTTTTTAGCACATGTTTGACCGTTCGTCTTATTAAAAAAAATTATGAAATATGTAAAACTATTTGTGTACATGAAAGTATATTTAACAATGAATCAAATAATATGAAAAGAATAAATAATTACTTAAATTTTTTGAATAAGACGAATGGTCAAACACGTACTAAAAAAGTTAACGGTGTCAAATATTTTGAAACGTAGGGAGTATATTTTATAACATGTAATTCACCCCTAAAAGCAACTGTCCTTAGTCTATTCAATCATTAATTTCAAACGTCACAATAGGAATGTGATATGCGTCAAGGATTCAATGTGACTTAGAATTGTATTGGTCCTTTCTTTGCTTGTATACAGACATGTTTCTTTCTTGACGTACACATGACCCTACAAGAAGACGTAACACGTCAACTTCATATTTTTTCCACATCCTGCTCATCTATACTTCCTCCGTCCCAAAATAAAGACATTTTTGAGGTTGGCACGGGTATTAAGAAAGTATGTGAGAATGATTGAAGGAAGTGTGTGATTAGTTGAAAAGAGAAACTAGGTAAAGAAGAATGGTTGTGATTGGTTGAGAGGAGGAGGTAGGTGAAGAAATAGCTTCATTTTAGGACAAGATACTGTGCTAAAAATAGCTACATCTTGGGACGGAGGGAGTATTACTTAAAAAGTTGTTAGTAGCAGTGATGTCCATTTCCTCGCCACCCTTTATTACTAGCAGCTGGGCTCCACAATTTATACTATTACACCACTTTTCAACAAGTCATCCCATATTTTACTATTGGCTCCTTCAAATTTTAAAATCACCAATTTGTTTGATAAGAAAATATTAGTATTACTTAAACTAAATTAGTAGTAATAGATAAGCTTGAAACTCTTTTTTTTTTGGTTGCAACGGTACGGGAACTAGGCTAGTGGTACATACAAGAGCACCAAAAGACCTTGTGGCCCTGGTAAGTTTTGGTTTGATAAAAATCCATAAACTTTTGACTTGTCCTACAATAAGGCTACAATGATATTTTTATTATCAAAGATACAAAATCAATGTCCTACGGGAACAATATGTACTATAAAGATTAGTATTAGTTCAATTCGTACCAAATATAACTCATATTTATAAAAGTTGCATGGTTGTATTTATTGTATAACACATATATATTTTGCTAATGTACGTCTCATACTTTTGAGTATATTCAAAGTTTTTACAAAAGGAACGAGCGGTCAAAGTGAAAAAGTAAAAAAGGTAAATAGTATTCAATGGTGAGTATTATTTTAAACAGAGGGAGTATATCCGAAGTTATTTGGGACAAACATGATGTTTGCTTGAGGTGCAAAGCGCCGATGAAGGAGGCCATACAAATTGATGTAATGTTAGTATCGTAAATCAAAATTGTCCCCATTTTCAAATACAAATACGTGCACGTCTAATCTTCATCTATTCAATTCTTTTAGGTACATTCGCCCTAAAGTTAGCTACAACATTGAAACATTCAAACAAATATATAAATAAATGCATACATAGGAATACAATTTAGAAATAACTGAAATTCGGAATTAAAAATAAGTAATATTGTAAGAAGAGTTCATATAAAACTGAATACGAGATTAATTAAAATTCAAAATAAAAAAATAAAAAAATAGAAAAATAATTATAGGACTTCATGTAGGAATACACTTTATAAGTAAAAAAAATATTGGAATGAAAAATATGAAATTTTGAAAAAAAGCAGTTTATCTAGATGTCAATGATGACAAATAACAATAAAAAGGAGAGAAGCAATAGACTCATAAAAGAGTAAGATGGTGGTGGTTAATGGACATCTAAAAACTATAAGCAAAACCATGAATAGAATCCCAATGACGATTAAGAGGAGGACGACACACAGACCGTTAGGTAGCAAGGTCACGATAGTTGGTGGGACTTATATAAAGTAAAAAAATAAACCGCAATGACAATCATTTTCGATTTTTTTAATCTCAATAATAATAAATAGGGAAGGCAACAATGGGCGGGCCATACAGGAGTATAGTGCCGGAGCCGGTGGCGGTTGGCGGGACTTCTAGAAAGTAAAAAAATAAACCCCAATGATAATTATGTTCAAATTTTAAAATCCCAATAACAATAAGTAGGGGAGACAACGGATGGGTCATAGAGGAGTACAATAGCGATGTTTGACGACACTTCTAAACATTATAATAACAGAACCTGACGAGACAATGGACTCTGAAAACTAGAAGGCCCAATTATTAAAGATTTCAAGAAGGATAAATAGAAGCCATGGTAAATCGGGAAAACAAGATAGAAGGGTGATAAAATTAGAGTAAGAGGTAGAGACTGATGTGACTTTAAAAACAATAAAATTAAAAATTAAGGGATGATAAGGTTCAATCTTTTAAGGTTCTAAGACAACGTGATGGCTATTTAACAAATTTTAAGTAATATCATATATTAGAAAATAGATAATTTAACATGGGTGCTAGCCGTGCAATTACATGGGCGACCCAGCTAGTTACCATGAAAACAACATTTAATGCTCCAAACACCTTTTTCAGGCATTATTCAGCATGAACAATGCAACCTACTCGAGGTGACGGCGGAGAGGAACACCGTTCTTCATGTCGCAGCGGAGAAAGGGCACATCGAGCTGATCAAGGAGCTCTACCACAGGTTCATCAAGGACAACAACTTCCTCTCTCGTCGAAACTCGGCACTGAACACGCCTCTGCACTGCGCAGCAAGGGAAGGGCACACCGGCACCGTGACAACCCTAGTACATCTAGCCCAGGACCGTGTGGAGAATATCATGGGGTGCCAGAACACGGCCGGGGACACGGCCCTACATCTGGCAGCGAGGCATGGTCATGGCGCCACTGTGGAGGCTCTTGTCGCGGCACACGCAAAGGCGACAGAGCTGAACAAAGTCGGCGTGTCTCCGTTGTACTTGGCGGTGATGAGCAGGTCGGTGCCTGCTGTAAGAGCAATAGTTACTACCTGCAGTGACGCATCAGCCGTTGGGCCGAGCTCGCAGAATGCTCTGCATGCTGCTGTCTTTCGGAGCTTAGGTGAGATATCAGCTTGTTGATTCGATAGCTTTCAAGCACAAAACAAGAATGCGTTCATCAACTTGATTGATAAAGTTATGACTTTTGCAGAGATGGTTCACCTCTTATTGCAATGGAAGCCAGAACTGGCTAGCCAAGTCGACTGCAATGGTAGCACCCCGCTCCATTTCGCGGCATCCGATGGCAACAGCAAAATCATACGTGCAATCATGGCCACTGCGCCACCTGGCACAGTGTACATGAAGGACTCGGATGGCCTCTCTGCTCTTCATGTCGCAGCTAAGTTGGGGCATGCCGATGTTGTCAAGCAGTTGATTGGGATCCGCCCTGATGCTGTCGAGCTTCGTGACAGCCATGGTGAGACCTTCGTGCACTCCGCAGTCAGGGAGAAGCGCTCCTCGATCGTGTCCCTTGCCATCAAGAAACACAAGCAGGTCGGTGGTCTTCTGGATGCGCAGGACGGGGATGGGAACACGCCGCTCCACATCGCCGTGGTTGCCGGCGCGCCTGGCATCGTGAATGCTCTACTCCAGAAGGGGAAAGTGCAAACCGATGTCTTGAACGACGATGGACACACACCGCTAGATCTCGCTTCCACATCGCCCAGTTTGTTCAATATGGTAAGCAATAACCAAATATGCGCATGCATTGTCCCAATGCATCTTGATGTAGAAGTTTTATATGATATGATTATTGATCTTCATCATATAAAAGAAACACTTACATATATATCCATGGTGTGCACACAATGCAGGTAAGGTTCGTGATGGCATTAGTTGCTTTCGGGGCACAATGCCGACCACAAAGGAATGACCATCTGAAGCCATGGAGCGGCCATGACAACATAGGGAAGGGGATAGAGAGGACTTCGGACAGCCTCGCGGTGGTGGCCGTGCTCATCGCCACCGTTGCCTTTGCAGCTGGATTCAACATGCCGGGCGGGTACACGAACGACGGCTCGGCAAGCCTCGAGGGCATGTCCTTGTTCAGATGGTTCGTGGTCCTCGACGCCATCGCGGTAGCATCATCGGTGATCGCCGTGATCCTGCTCGTCTACGGGAAGGCGTCGCGCTCCACCGGGTCGTGGAAGAGCTTCGTGGCGGCGTTGCACTGCATCTGGGTCTCGCTCGTCAGCCTAATCCTGGCCTTCTTCGCGGCCTCCCGTGCCGTGATGAGAACCTCGACGGCAGAATCCATCGTGTACATTGTTATCTACGTGGGCATCATCGTTTTGTCTCTCTTTGTCGCACAGTGGATTGGACCTGTGACGACGGCGCGTGCATTCTGGAGGTTTTTGTGGCTCAGTCACCGGGCTCACACCGTCAGGAGGCAGTATCCGTTCGCCGTCGCTTCCATCTACAACTGGCTTCTCTTCTTACATATAACTTATATAATGTTTGCTGGTTTGGGAGTGGTACATAATCACTCCAATTCGGATCGGGGAGGATTATCAAGCAGCTGGAACCCGAACCATATCTCACCTGCCCCTGCACCTATGTAATTAGAGCACTACCTATACAATATTTTTCTTATATTTTACGTGTTCTATTCTTGTTATGTTATTAATGATGCAATGAGCTCTTCTGATGGACAAGCAACAGAAAATTTACTTGGTAATTAACCATATTTTTGGACATATTTTTCTGGCAAATAATCCTTCACGCCTTCTTATATCAGCTCATTCTTATCCTTGAAACCTTATCACTCCACACTAATGTTGATATTGATTGAGCTGGCTGGGACCTAGGTAGGGGCTGGGGACCTTCATTTAGGTCAGTACACCCACACCTCAGGGTGTTTATTCCTGGTCTGGGTGTGTTTAGTTCACACTAAAATTGGAAGTTTGATTGAAATTGGAATGATGTGACGAAAAAGTTGAAAGTTTATGTGTGTAGGAAAGTTTTGATGTGATGAAAAAGTTGGAAGTTTGAAGAAAAAGTTAAGAACTAAACTAGACCATGGTTCGGATGTTGGATCCATGCTATTTATTTATGCAGAATGAGATTGTGAACAATGGACTATCTGTTATTAGGCTTGGGATGTTGATTTGATGCCAATTACCATAGTTTATTACTGTTGAAGTTTTGTTTCAGTACCAAATATTATGAACTGAAATTGTAATTGATGGATTATATCAGTTATTAGGAGTACTAGAGTTTTACATAGTATGTGGTAGAACAATAAGGCTCCTTTGGAAGGTGGATTTTTTTAAGGAATATTGAAGGAACAATAAGGCTCCTTAATTGATAAGTAAGCCTTTATTGTGATGTTTACATTTGTTACTCCACATGCGAGCTCCATATGTACACTTCTGAAAATGTCATTCTCTTTTACATGGCACTCCTATGTACTATGTAGCAGTGCTTTCAGTTAGCAGAATCCAAGATGCAGTTCAATGCTCAAGCTTGACTCCCACACTTCAGCGAAGAAGAGCACACGGACTGAAGGATCATCATTATAATATGCCAAGAAACTGATGTGGTAGGACATTGAATGCCCACTGTTGTTTTTCTTCACACCACGCTTTGGAACTAGTTCCCACAATAAGAGCAAGTTTAATGGTATAGCCCACTACTAGCTCCAAATCATCTATAGCTAATGTAATAGCCAATTCATTAAATAGTTGCTTACTATACTATTAATACCTGGTCCCACCTGTCATACACACATTACGTTTTGGAGTCCGTATTGCAGCTAGCTATAGACTATTATTTCTTTTTATTTATCTCTTTAAAATATGTTTATAGCTGCTATTGTACCTGCTCTAAGTAGGGTGGCATAAGGTTAAAATGTACTCCACAATCTATCCAAATAATATGTCCTCATAAAAATACTCCTTTTTAACATGAATATATGTGATCTTTAACTGATTAATTGAGACGAGATATATTCTTACAAGCACTTGAAAATTGAATTTCAACAGAAATACATAGAAGTATGCCAATTGATAACCAATTCTTTGTTCCAATCCTAATTGTTGGAGACATGTCATGAAGGCATTCGATCAAGTCTGCTAAAACCAATTCACAGTTGCTAGGGCGAAGCATGGCAGCAAAGTTTCGGTCGTCACGAAGACGAAGGCTTAAGGCAAATCGCTAGACAAAGCCGAAGATCTTCGCCACGAGTCAAGGACCTTTCACCTCAAAACAAAGGGCTCAGGACCCGAAGGGGCCAACTGGCCTATGGAGGCCCACTTGGTGGCCCAAGAAGAAGCCCAAAGCTGAATTACCTACAATTACCCTCATAAATGTTCCTATTATAAGGGTAGCCATGTAAATTCCCATGCACTTGATAACCCTAGGGCACATGAGTTTGTACTAAGTCTATAAATAGGCCCTAAGGGGCATGTATTGAGGGATCCAAAAAAATTTTAAACATTAATACTGCCTTCGTCCCATAAAAATTGAATTTCTACCATTGAACTTTTGTCCCATAAAAATTGTATTTCTACTAATATGGGACCATTAGTCTTTCTTCCTTCCTTCCCATCACTAACCCGTTGTCTCAACCTTCCTTCTAATCAAGTTTATATATGGAATATATGCATGTACTTTGTTCATTAAATGAGTTTATGGTAGTTATTTGTCTATCCTCCTATTATGTCCTTAATTCCATATAAATTCAACTTTTATAGGACGGATGTAATACTTCTAAAAAAAGAGTGAATCTAGTCCTTCGACGGACGAACTTGTCATTCGACAACACTAATCAAGCCCACTAGCTCCAAGCATGAGCCTATGAACGATTATACTCCAGCAGTACATACACAACAATGCTTCTATCCATTATCACATAGATCATATTTGTCCCTAATTAATTAAGATTTAGTGATTATCCATGTGTCTCGCTGTCTGATCAATTCAAACTAATATAAAATTCTAGCAACAAACTAGACTAATTGAGATAAAGATATATTTCTACGAGAATAGACCAGACCGTCAGGAGTAATTAAGTTAGAACATGTTTTATAAATAAGTTAAATAAGTTAGAACAAGTTCTATAAAAAACAAATAAAGCATGTTTTATAAGCATAAACTTAACCCAAATTGGATTGAAATGACATAAATTTTTGCAATAGCAGTTCGAGAAATTTTATTTCCTATAAAAATAGATTATCTAAACTATTCAAGCAAACAATCAATCAACTTAAAGTAAAAAAAACTAGCAACTAAAAAAATACAAGTAATCAAGGGTTAAATTATAATTACCCAAGTATGCTGATTCGAGTAATCATACCACCGTTCTTTTAAGGGTTGATGAAAAAACTTCTGCTTCTGCATAAAGTCATTCGCACATCCCGCATATTCCAGGCTGTTGGACATAATTTAGAATTATCCATTGATGGTGAAATATATGAGTTTTTCACTTCTAATATTTTATACACTTATTGAAGAGCTGCATCAACAATGGTATAGTTTTTTAATGTTTCTTCATTAGTTAACAAGGACAACACATCACAAGTCATAGACTTAAGAAATGATGCAATCTTTAAATGCTTGGAGTGTTTTTTAGCTTAGCATGCACGATCATAGGTTTTATAGCATATCTTCTTTATTGTCACCTGTAAAACCATATAAAGATTGCACTGCTGGTAGCTAAGGTATTCCAGGGCATTATGCTCCTAAACAAGTGGTTGTACGAACCATGGCAACAAGGCTGTCAAGGGAGCGGGCCTTCATACGAAGCACATATTACCTATCAATCTCAACACTCATCTCCAGCAGAGGGTATACCCTATCATAACCTATCTCCAGCAAGGGGTATACACTATCATACTAGATGACATTGAGAATTATGTTCGACACTGGGTCATGGGACCATATAGTAAAGAATGCCACGGAGATATTTCTGAAGAGCCTTGTGGGATAGCAAAGAGACTGTCTTGACATAGAGAGCATGGATGAAATTTAAGCTGCGCCGTTGGTTAGAGCTTCACCTGTCTCGGATTATTGGAACCGAGGAGAACTTTATATTCTCTCCGTTTTAAAATATAACAACTTATAGTCTTTAGAATTTATCATAAAATATAAAAAATTCGTCACTAACATTCATTTTTTTTCACCTACTTCCACTTCTCATCCAATCACAACATTCTCACAATTAATTCTACCTACTTTCTCAATAACCATAACCAACCCTATAAATCCTTATATTCTAGGACGGAAGTAGTATTTTGCACCTGTTACCCTCTATGTATATTTACATAATATATTTTGTAAATATCTATCTGGTATATACTAAAAGTTCATTAAACTTCCTAGAAACACTCTTAAACCGCCACATGGCTTCTACAAACGTTCCTAAGCCACCACGTGGCGCTCTAATAAATTAGAGAAATCTAAGAAATTCCAAAAAAAAGGAAAAAAATCCTACCATTAATTTTCATTTAATATGGTGGACCCATCATTTTACAACATTAAATCTATATATGTTAAAAAAAAAAGTGTCACCTACGTCCACACCTCTCACTCCTCTCCTCACACGTACGTATGTCCGTCTCCCCCACCCCTCTCTTCTTTCTTCCATTTATAGTAGCAAAATTTTATATATAAAACACAATAACTAAATAATTAGAATATCTTATAATATATTTGATTTTACTTTGAACTAAATTTACCATATTTTGGCATGTACATATATAAGAAATATATCATTTGACATAAACTTCTTTATATCACAACTAAATAGTAATAAAATATTATAAAAATAAAATATATCATGCCATCATAAATGATCTCATATTATCTCTCTTGCTCACTTTCTTATCCATATTTTCTAGCCAGTAGCTCAGTACATAAACAATACAATATATTAACTACACAATATATTAACTATCTATTATGTACTAAAAGTCCATTAAACTCCCTACAAATGCTCTCAATCTGTCACATGGTGTTCTACAAACACTCCTAAAACACCATGTGGTGCTCAAATAAATTTAAAAAAAACCTAGAAATTATGATAAAAAAAATCAAACCATCGATTTTCCTTTAAATAGGTACGTGGACCCAATAATTATAACTACTACATGTCACAAAAAATAAATCCGGTACCCCCACCTCCACCCCTACCATATGTGAGCACGCATGTACATGCATACTCCCTCCACCGTGCAACTCACCTCTGGGATCCAACTCTCATCTCCTATTTTCTATCTAACTTTTCATATTTTCTAGTTGACACATAATATATCATATATATGAAAAAAATAATAGCTAAGTGATCATGGCTCCCAAGTTACATGTACTTTTCTTAGTTTATTTGATTTTTTGTGTTATTTATAATTAAATACATAATCCAAGATCCATATTGCTCATATTTACTATATAAAAGATAATGCGACTGTTCTGACTACAAATATTTGAGCAAAGTAGCACTTCGCAAATATGTGAGTCTAAAGTCCAAGTTTAATCACTACCAAGAAGCTTGGAACCATGATGCATACTCTGGGCCTGAACCCGACGAAGGCAGAGCTACAAGACATTATTAGCGAGCTGGACACCGACGGCAGCGGCAACATCGACTTACATAAGTTCCTGGCCCTAAATAGCACGCTAGATGATTAGGTGAAGGGCAAGTACTGAGAGGAGCGGCACAGGGAGGCGTTCCACGTCTTCGACAAGGACTAGAAAGAGCCCCACCACATCATTT